AACCTTTATATTGTATTTTAATTGATTTACCTCTTCTGTAAACTGCCCAGAGTTGCTTTTTAACAAGATGGGCAGTGACAAATTTGATAAATAAAATAAAATAAAATAAAATAAAATAAACCTAACATTAAAAGAGAGCTAGAAGTATATTAAACTGTGAAGCTTAGGTTTTGCATTACATTCCAGTATGTTTGCAAGCCTAAAGAAATGCTGGCTGGTGTATCTGAAAGGGTATCTCTTCCCATGTGCCTCACACTCACACACACTTTTACCCTAGATCTTCCTTTTCAGAACTATAGTTGGCAGTAATGATATCTGCAGCCTTTTCTAACTGGTCTTTCTAGGGAGAGAATAACAAATAAAAGCCACTGTTATTTTTCTCTCCCCAAGATGATCAACTTTTGTTTTCCTCCAGTTTAAAACTGGGAAAATCTAATTTTCTTCCCCTCGCCCCACCTTTGGTCTGGAAGATTGCTGGAAACAATTTAATAAACCTCTTTTTAAAAATATTAGATCTTTGGAACAAATGCTATTTTGTTAAGAGGATTTATTAAACTTTAATCTAGAGCTTTAAAGCCTTCAACAACAAGGCAGAAGACACTAAAGCAGATAGCTAGTTAAATTCAAATATGTAAAATGTAACAAACATATTTTTATAAAGATTTCCTTTAAAAATTGGTATTATTCAGAAGAATTATATTATTAACTGTCTGAAAGAGTTAAATTATCATATTAATGAATTGCACTAGACAGCCAATGCTAAAGAAACAGAATATTTCTCACATAATAGGGAAATAAACATCCTATTCGGCTTGAAAGATTTGGTTGACATGAAGTTTTAACAATCTCAGGTTCTACCAAATGAGTTAACTTATTGCAATGAAAGTCAATATCCCCTAAAAATAGTTTTCCACTCTTTGTCTGACAGTGTTAAGCAACACAGAGATTTCTTTCATAGCTGGGTAATGCAGAACGATCACATTTTTCAATGTCTTTCACTACAGAGCCTTCACTCTAAAATCATTATTACCAAAATTGTAAAATGTATTTACAGTGAATATCAAGAATATGAAGATCACAGACTGAGAAACTGGGGGTTGCTGGGCATGACTGAAATTGGGGCACAATGCAATGCAACTATTAAGATGACTTGCCTCTTCACATAATGGCTGCCTTGAATAAGCATTACCATTAGAAAACATCTATTTCCTAGAAGACACAGTACCATCTTGCTGTTGGTACTTACCCTTTTTCTCTGGGTCAGCGAGCATGCTTCTAACTAAAGCACTGCATTGCAACAATTCACTAAATTCATATTTTTAAGAATATTTACTGGACCTAAAAAGGGCCTAGAATAATTCTTGAAAATAAAGATGAAGCTAGAAATTGCTATTTACTAGTTTCCAATTGTTTAAATTAAAATAATTAAGAATAATTAAAATGACAAGGGAGGTGTTATAAGTACCATATTTTGTATTCCTGACTGATCAGATAGGTAGACTATCTAATTTTATATGTTTGTAGACAAGGGCAGCCCTGACAATAATCAGGGTGAAACAATCACTCATATGACAAATATTCAGAGGCAAGAGCAGATGTCTTTCATGAACTTCTCTGTTGTTTGTGTCATCTCTACGTTAGAGGGCTACTTCAGTATAATATATGACTCTATCCACAGGCAATACTGAAAGAAGATTCAACTACCCATCCAGTAAGTTTTGAATACTGAGATACCATGATATTTTGTGTCACGCAATATACAATCTTGTATCGGGCTTATGTACATTAGAGCAAAAGACTGGACAGCCCATAATCAGAGTATATTAAGCTCTTTATTTTAATTAATATCAACTTAAGCAAGTGCAAAGTATAATTAGCTGTTGTGCAACCTATACTTAAAACCAGGATATTAAAACTTCTAACTCACCTTCCCTAGATCTTTATTCGTAAAACAAGCAGGTGGAACTTATTAAACTTTATTAAAGCGTTACGCCTCTTTTCTACAGTAGGATATAACAATCACTCAAAATGGAACAGATGAAGCAAAATGCATCAGATTCCAAAAGGCTCATGGCCAAATCAAATAATGCCAAGTAAACACACAGACATCAATTACAAAGGAAATATATACATAAATAAGATGGAGACTGGAGTTAAGGAAATTATACTTCTATTGTGAAAGAAATTAGTTCAGTGATAATACTTGGTGGCTATATATCTCAAACACTGCATTATGAGTCCACACCCTTTTTAGTGCATACTTGTTCACTCAGCAGAAATAGCTTAGTTATCTAAGTGTCAGGTGAATGTGACAACCATATAGTTGAAAACTAATTATGTCTAACTGATTAGTAAACATAGATTAACAGACTATCTGAACCTCCACCCAGGATCACAACAGCTGATGGTGAAAGAATGCAATGATGTAACCCTGATTTTCTTTTTTTTCAGTATCATTTATTTCCCTGGCCATATATGATGCATATAAAATACGTGGTCCTGCTATTTCTCTTTGCCTGGCATTTGCTGTGCCAAATCTCTCCCATGAAGGTGCAGTTTGTTGTAGTCTGAGAATACCTGGCTTAGACTACAGTCTATGAACTTTCTGTAAAGAAATCCTTCAACAGTTGCATATGGTCCAAACACTAAGAACAAATTAGTTACTTGTTTGAAATAGCTGATTGTCCTTTTTTTCAAAAAAGGCAAAGTTTGAAAAGACTTTTAGATAGGTGAGAATTGCACCTGTCTAAAAAATAAAAAGGCTAATTCTAATAGCATCATTCCACACAGACAGCATTTTCATCACTTGAGTCATCTTGCTTGTTAGATAAAAGAGTTGCAGGCAATGTGGCACCTATCCTGGTTTTTTGTCAATGCCAACTTCTTCCTTGAACTTTAGAACTCCTGATGCTCCAAGTAGAATAAGTAGTATAGCTTCATGGCACAAGATAGGAGATTGCTTACATGCAAATCACATACCTGGGAAATCATTAATTTGCTTTCTAAGCATTGATTTTGGAAAGAGAAACAGACATAAATTGCATGCCTCCACTACAAATCCTGGTTCATTAAATTGCCATGCAGCCGCTGCCCTCCAAATGTGTTAGACTTTGCAAGTTCCATAGGCATATAATATGATACAAAAACGACAAAATGTGTGTCACATCGTTATGATGCAAACCCTAGCCTTTATACTTCTGTACCAACATCTGATGCAATCATCATTTAGGTTACGTCACAACATTGTGATGAATGTTTTGTCATTTGTTTCCCTCTCTTTGCCCCTACAGATAACTCTGACTGGTTGGAAAACCTATTTTAGAGCATCCAGCCAGCATCTCTGGAAAAGATGGCCCTATGGGAGTTCTCTTTACTTAGGATTTTAGCATGCCTGAAGGAGCAACGTGAAAGCTATGTAGCAATATGTATTCCTTGAATGTTGGCTAACCAGTTAAAACTGGTTTAATTTTCTTGCACTTCATGCATCTGTAAGTGAATAATATATGTGTACAAAACTTTCAGTGATAAAACATGATAAAGATCTTTTATTTAAACAAAAACTTAACGCTGTCTGTTGCTGGGATGATGTATGATTTCATTATCATTATTTTTAATTTAATTTAATTTGATTTAATTTGATCAATTTAATTTAAAATGATTTACTGTGGATATTTTATGTGTTTGGTTACAGTGTTAACTGCCAGGAGTAGTTGTGAAATACCGCAGGATACAAGAATGATAAATAAATAAAAACTTGAAAAACTAAAAACAAGACGCAAAAGATTTCACTTTTGACCATGCATATATAAATTAAATAAATAAATAAATAAATAAAAACTCCTTTTTGCTGCTATCTATGAAGTAAATTAATTTTAGATATCAGCTTAAGATCTGCTGCTGTGGGAGTTGGTCGCTTGGTGCTCAGATTGATGAGTGGTCTGGTAGCCACTTCCAAAACAATCAACAGCTACAGATGTCTGCCTTCATGAAAGAGGCAGGCCTCCTTCTCTATATATTGAAAAAGCACCCGAAAATGTACAAAATCTTGCTGGCTTAACTTGCCTACATGCAGGTTTCTCATTTGGAAGTAGAGTACTTGCTAGAACTTTTGTGTTGTTCACCTTTTTGCTAAGAAATCTTCCTTATCAAAACTTGTTCTTTGAATTAACAGTTCTAGTCCAGGTAGCTGTAAAAGTCTGACAACTGCTGAAAAACATAGAAAGTAAAGCAAGTTCTTGCTTAAAATGGACCCATGGTACTTTATGAGCACCGTGTTTTGATAAAACTACTGTATAAGGAACAGCATCCATTGGTTGCTGGCTGTTGTCGGGTGACCCTGTTTCATTAGAAATCTGTGATGTGCTAATTGAAAGTATTATTTCATTGGCAGGAAGAAATGATCATATTAAATACATATAACAGAGGGCAGAGAAGTACCTGAAAGTATGCATAGAAAGATTTGCACTTGTACTATTTTGTGTCCACTCTATAGTAAATAATTGGTCATGAAGAACTTTGTTAAAGACTCTTTGAAAATCAAAGTAAACCGGGTGATCTCCATCCACATAGCTGTTGACACCCCCCAAAACTCTGGAAGGTTGATGAGATAGAAATTCTTATTCTGCATACAAGAAATTGAAAAAGGTAAAACAAAGAAACAAAAAGTCTACTTACCTTTATCAAATAAATCTGGCAGTCACTGACATAATCATATTCTAGTCCATCAAAAGTATAATAATGTCGATCTCCATAGACTGTACATACAGCAGGACAAGGATAGTACGTGCAATTAAATATCCCACGTCGGCAAATACTGGGATGGGGTGGGGGAATCAAGATTTTCTTATTGAAAAATAGATATACTCTTTTGTCATGAATCACAAAATAATAGAATTTACTACAGCGCAATATATTTTTGCAATATAACTCCTTTTTGCATCGCTCTTTACAGGGCAGGTCCTATCCAGATGCATTTACATCTCCAGGTTTCTTCTGGCAAGGAAATGTTTGCAAAAGAACAAATTGTGCATTTTATACTTTTGAAACGAGATTCCACCAACAAATAACCACCTCAATATTCTTAATGCACCGTGGTACTGTATATTATAAACAAATGTATCCACCTGGCATATCCATATATTACAAAAGGCATAAAGGGACATGTAGAATGATAAAAAATCAAAATGCCAATGTTTCGTTTTAGAAAGTTTAATTCACATAACATATTGCATACTTCATTAAATAACCACTTTGAGTAACGTTTATTATCATGAGATTTTATGCTCAAATTATATTTAGCTCTATGAACAACTTTATTTAAACTCTACATATAAAATTTATTGGCTGTTTATTTATTTAACTTAGTTTTGTTTAACTTGATTATCTTATCTTATCTTATCTTATCTTATCTTATCTTATCTTATCTTATCTTATTATTTTTATTTTTTAATTCCATTTAAATCTAAATTAAATCACATTAAATTAAATTTTGTTCCAATCCTGCCCAGGTCTTCATCTTGGCTCCATTCACCAAAGATTGGACACATCACTAATATGCCAATATACTAATAAATAGCTTTAGGTCCAAAAAGTGTTGCTGTGTCCTGTACAACATTTTATATACAATCATATCTTCCCTTACTCTCTTTTTTTTTAACCTAAATGTCTTCAGTGCCATCACTGATTTATTCCAGTGCATGGAATATGATTGTTGTTCCTTTTCTATATGTTCTTGAGCTCTGTAATACTTACTTTGTGCTGCAGTGACCATAAGTGTACATAATATTCCAAATATATTCATATCCTATACATGTGTGAATTCTGCATTAATAATAGATTTTATATCCAATTTCTTTCCTAATTATCTCCAATACACTTGTAGATCTTGAGGATGTGGGTAGGGTGAGTGGAGAGATCTAGGTAATCTCTTGCCTAGTTGACCCTTGCCCTTCCTTGCTGGCTCAAATTCAAGATAGGTGATCAACACCTCATTCATGTGGTCTTTGTATGCTTAAAAGAGGCCGTTATAAGTTATAAGGTTTCTTTAATTGAAAAAGCTCCCCCTTGACCCAAAAGATCTTTTTAATTATAAGAAAATCTCAAATATTCCATTCTTGGCTAAGGTAACTGAGTAAGTGGTAGCCTCACAGCTCCAGATACATTTCGATGCAAATGTTTTTCTGAACTTATTTCAATCAGAATTTTGTCTGGTATATAATGCTGAGACTGGTTTGGTTCCCCTGGCAGAAAACCTATACTGCACATTAGGTGGGAAGCATGCAACCCTGCTGTTAATTCTCTTGCAACTTACAGTAACACAGGCCATGGAATCTCTCTGGACTGTTTGAAGGATTGGCCCTTTGGAATAATCCTATACACTGGTTCCAGTCTTTCCTTTCAGGAAGTGCCCAGAAGGTGGTATGGGGGAACTATATTTCAATGCCCACTGTAAATTCTACAGGGTTCTGTGTTGTCTCCTATGCTCTTTAACATATACATGAAACCATTAGAGTTTCATGACAACGTTTACATGAAACCATGAGTGCTACATTGGTGTGCAGGTGCACCCGGGCACATGTATGCTATAGAGTGCAGGCAGGGAGATCTCATACTCCATAGCAGGCTCCTTGGGAGAAAAAGCAGTGGAAGTGACTTACGGGAGTGACTTGCGACCTTCCCTGCTGGCTTCCCTATTGCCTTTGCTTGTGGGAAGCTGGCAGGGAAGGTCACAAATGGTAATCACATGACCATGGGAAGCTGCAACCATTGTTAAATGCAAGCCGGTTGCCAAGCACCAGAATCATGATCATATGACTGAGGGGGTGCTGTGACAGCCGGACCTTCGAGGACTAGTTGTAAGTACCACTCGTTCAGCACTGTCGCAACTTTGAACAGTCACTGAACAAGTGGTCGTTAACAAGGACTACCCGTACAGGGATCATATAATGCTTGTATTAAAATGTCTGCACTGGCTACCAGTTGCCCACATGACCCAATTTAAGAAGCTTGTGTTAACTTTTAAAGCCCTAAAAGGCTTAGAACCTGATTAACTACAGAACTGTGTCTCTTGCTATGAACATGCCTGGCTACTTAGATCAACAAGAGAAGCCCCTCTGAAGATAGTCCTGCTGTCAGAAGCTTGACTACTGGGTACACAGGAAAATCCTTCTCCTGTATAGCTCCCAGACTGGATTGGAATACCACTCTCCCAGTATTTAGGAATGTGGTAAAAATTAATGTCTTTCATCAAGCATTTAATTTGATTATTTTAATGATTGATTTTAGTTGCATTAATTTTGTTTGGATGCATATGCATTTATTTATTTATTTATTTATTTATTTATTCATTCATCCATCCATCCATCCATCCATCCATCCATCCATCCATCCATCCATCCATCCAATGTTTATGGCCACCCATTTCAACAAGTGACTCTGGGCAGTGAAAAGAATTAAAATAAAATAAAAACAAACATTACAAAAATTAAAATACAAAGCAGTTGAGAAACAATAAACCCAAATCACTAACACAACTAAGAAGTGGGTCCCTGCACACACTCGGAGCCCCAGACCCAGGCACAGACCCAGGTCTTTAGGGCCTTACAAATGGCCAGCAGGTTTGGGGCCATCCTGATCTCCAGAGGGAGAATGTTCTATAAGGTGGGTGCTACAGCAGAAAAGACACACAAACACACACACACACACACAATTGGTGCTGGAACAAACAGAATAGAATAAATTAATTAAATACATCTGCCTCAAAGCAATTTCTTGCTGCATCAAGTTTTCCTTGAGCTATCCATCACAATCCCAAGATCTCCTCTTGACAGTCATTTCCAATGTAAATTCCATCATGAATTTAGTATTTTTCACCCCAAGATGCAACATTTTATATGTACTGAATATTTGCTATTTGCATGTTCATGCCACAGTTTGGTGAGATCCTTTGATGGTCTTCATGTACATTTATGTTTTAACTGGCTTTAATACTTTGGTGCTTTTGGCAACGTGGTCATTTATGAAGTTGAAAAACTTTAATACTAAGACAAGCATTTGGAAGACCCCACAATTTACATTCATGCATTGTAATAATTATTAATATATTCCTATTCTCTGCAAAAGATAGATCGATTATAGGACTCACCATATTATATGAGGGACCTTTTTTTAAAAAAACTACTTTCTTGTTCACTTATTAATCTATATTTTAAGCGTCTTGTCTATTTCCTTAAGTCTTATTTTTGCTACTAAGTTTTGAAAGAGAAATAAGACTCTTGTGCATTTCCTACTCGGATATGTCCATTGATTGATTGATTGATTGATTGATTGATTGATTGATTTAGGCAGAATGAAAATGATTTGCCATTGATTTATTCTGGGGTATTTTTTTGAGTTCCCAATGTAACTTACAGCCCATCAATGTATGACCCTACTTAGTTTTGGGATTTTTTACATCAGTCATTGTTAAATTATTTTAAATCATTACATAATCAAAAAACACATGCATGACCATGTCACAACTTATGTAGTACTAAAATTAATTACATCATTAAAATATAATAATCTCACTTACCAGGTATAACAAGGGGTAGCTAACACTTCACCTGACATATACTCCCAATCCTTCCACATACACGGACAACTATCTGGCACGTAACATTTTCCTTTATGCTCAGCCATCCTTTGAAATAGTAAAAACATAAATTTTAAGAAATTAACTATCCATATGTATTTGTAATCATCTTTTTATAGAAAACAGTGGATTTAAGTTCTGTTCCAGTTGACTCAATGGTCACAAAGTAGTGCAGAGATAGCTTTTGAGTCCTATAGGAATCACCATTAAGCCAGATGGTAAATACATTTTAAAACAGGAAAATAGGAAAGTTGGAAGGTATAGAATCAGTGGAATCTTTACACATAGTTTTATGGTGAAATGGGCAAGCAGATTTCAACCATCCTCAATTAGGCTGTAGTGCATGTTTTGATGTTTTCAGGTTGCCCCTAATACACTCAGAAAGGAGAAGGAGAAGTAACTGATACACAGTGGCTGAAAATGTGTTTACCTGGAATTATTTCCATCTTAAATAAAACAGTTCTCATAATAGACAGATAGGAGATGTCAAATGAAACTAGATATTAAAATAAATAAAATTGGAGTTTATTTTAGATGGCTTACTGGGTTAAAAATATAAGTAAAGAAAAATCAGATGGAATATATTTAACTAATACTTTAAGGGGATATATTCTCAGTAACTTAAGTCATAACTTCGAATTGTGTATTTGCAAGCTGCATATATAACCAAAAGGCTCATTCTTGATTTACTAAGTTAAGATATGATCATTCAAACCAATATATACATCTTTTTGATTCCAGAAAGTCTCCCCGTATATTTCTAAACAAAGCCGTTTGAGGCCTCCAATACATTCTTATCTAATAAAAATGAAGCCTATAGCACTGCTGTTGAAATTTCTTTGCATTCATACTGATTGGGAACAATTAACAATAATACAGTACCCAGAGAAAGATATATTCATCTGATCTTTGAATACAATTGCCGCATCCCATGCTCTGACTTTTGCTATCACTTACCCAGGGGGGCAGATGCAACCACTCAAACATGGTGGAGAAGGTGTACAGGTAAAGTTCATAGCAATGTTTGTACATGTTAGTTCACAGTTTACTCCAGCTGATGTCAAGCCAGGTACATGAGACTGGCAGTCATAGTAGATCTTTCCATCAGGACATGTGTGCACTATGAATATGAAATGCAAATGATATATAATCTGCTTTACTTCACTCTCCCTTTAATTTAACTTACAAGTGATTAGGTTTGCTGGCTAACATTGTAAATTTTCAGTAATATGCCCCAACTTAATATCATTCTAATTTCATGTACAATAGTAATTTTAAAAAAGATTAAGCCTTCTTCAAATTGAGTTCAACTTTTCATGGGCACATTTGTGACTTATCTAGGATTTTTATTATTATTATTATTATTATTATTATTATTATTATTATTATTATTATTTTCCCAATTTCCTAGTCTAGCCTATAGCCTTGGGTCTCTCTGACAGCTCCTACCCAAGTACTAACCAGGCCCAACCCTTTTTAGCTTCTAAAACTAGATAAGGTTGGCCAGCTACTGCAGTACTTTTCTTAAATTGTAGGTGGCTAACATTCTCCTGTCTAAGGCAGTTTCTCAGCCTTGGCAACTTTAAGACGTGTGGACTTTAACTTCTAGAATTCCTCAGCCAGTATGCTGGCTGGAGAATTCTGGGAGTTGAAATCCACACGACTTAAAGTCACCAAGGTTGAGAAACACTGGTCTAAGGACATATGGAAATGCTGTAGGGCTGAAAATAATGGCTTACACAAGAGCCATGCAGAAAAAGGTTTGGTAAGCACAGTTAGAGATATGGGTACAAACTTAAATCCCTTCCTTAGAAGTTGAATAGCTGAACATAATTCCCACAAAAAAGAAAGCTGACCAAGACATATTTGGGAATTGTTATTCTAAATGAGTCAAGAAAGTTACCTGCAGGAACAGCTGCCACTTCATCGCATTTCATTGTTCCATTTAGACATTGGCTAGTCAATGTACATTAAAAAAAAAAAAAAGTTTAATAAGAAAACTATTCCCCTGATGTCATTATTTTAAACTGCTTACTACGTAATATTGATATGCTAATATGTATATTATCAGCATAACTGGCAGAACTGGTGGTAACTCACAAGGATATTCCCTCAATCTCCCCCAAAGCTCTATCAGAGGGTTCCCTAGTTCTCTGAAGCATATGGATATGCATGCAAAGCATAAGGAAGAAGAATCTCTTCCGCCAGCATATACTATTCTGTCAGTGATTGACACTGGTGAATGCAACCATTATGTTTAGATGTCATAATAATTTAATTAAAACCTTCAAATTTTGTTTTATTATATTATTTGATCCTTTAGCTTTACATACCTAGTAGTGGTACATATGATTCAGTTATCCATTGGACTTAGGCAATTTTAAAAAAAACACAAAAACTACTAAGTGAATCGGCCCCATAACCACTCTGTAATGGGACTAGATTTTCCATATACTTTGTTTATCTATCAGAACATGTTGTGTTCTGAAGATAAATCAGGTGTTAGCCACTGTATTTCCTGATTACACCAAAGTCCACATCTGAACTAGGGTTATGAATTTACTCTGTTGGTAGATTTTAAGGCCCCATAGGCTAAATTGGCCAGTAATCTCCCCAACCACCAATAGCTCAAGGCAGTCAATTATGACAAAAGCCAGGCCCAGTTTCCTAGCTCATAAAGTACATATGTCCTTTGCAGGACATGAAGACTGAATCTATCTCATATTTTTGTTTCAATGGATGTTCCATTATTTTTACCCTAATGAGTACTGATATATTTAATTATATATATATCTTGATGATTTTTAAAGATCAATGGGTAAATTTTGTCACAACCAACTCTTGCTTTAAGATGCTAAATCTAGGAGGACTTCCCACAAATCACATTCCTAAGTGAATTCATTTGTAAGGTGTAACAAATGGTTAAGTGGCTTGACATATAAAAACAAGCCCACATTTCCACAGAAATATAAACAAACTATTTTTCCTGTGCTTGGCCAAATAGTAAAATAAGTTTACTTGGTATATTGGATAGTAATCATACAGAGAAGTGTTTAAATAAGATGCATCCAGAAAGAAAAACAAGTGAGTGTTTATTCTTCCATAATAAATCACAGTTTACCATAATAGACCACAGTTTTACTATAATATTAAGAAGAAAAAGCAGGAAATTATTTAGGAAAACATACTAAATGTATATAAAATTAAAACAGGCCTGCATCTAACTCAAAAATTAAATGCACAAAAACTCAATCTACAAATTCAGTCAAAATGAAACTCTTGAAATCAAAACTTACCATGACCCTGATGGTGTGGGCAAAATTTCTCCAGGCTGAAAACTTCTGCCTTTATAATAACATCGACAGCTAGCCCTGATTTTTTAAAAACATATATGGTTCAGATATAATACAACATTATAGAAAAGAATAATCCTTTGTGTTGGTTTATGCCAGCGATTGTCAAGTATGATTTTTGAGTCACCAGAGGTTCTCAAAGGGCCACCAGATGGTTCACTGTAGCCTTACTACATTCAGGTGCCAAAGATTGCTTGTCATCTTTGCCCCATTGCATCTCAGCCCCACCTCAACCGTACACCAGCACCAGCAACAAAAAACTGGAACAACTTAGCAAGTTTGCATTAAGATTTGTTATTATAGCAAGGAGTATATAAAATAATTAATAATTCTTAAGGTTGGAATAATTTTGGAGTACAAGAGTACAACACCTTTATAAATGAAGGGATGGGAAGGCATACACAAATGCAGCCATGATTATTATCTTATTTACTATAAAGAAATAAAAAACTTCCCATATTCTTAAGGAAGAAAACATAGAAAGGTAGGTGTTTGCTCAATTAGGTGGTCTCCACATTTCTGAATGTTTATTTAGTGGTTCAATAACTGCAGAAAGTATGACAAATGCTGGTTAATGCTATGGTGCTCAGAATTGAGTTTAAACTCAGCACCTTCACCCTGATGTAACAGTACCAAGTTACTCTGCTCCATTTGTAATTTGGGCTTTTGCCATGCATCTCAATACTAGTAGTATGTAAAAGTACAGATAGCCTAGAGCTGAGCTTGGCTTCTCATGGCTGCACTGATACAGTTTTCTTGGCACTTTCCAAAGTGGTTTATCATTAACTTCCTCTGCTTTGTTTGTTTGTTTGTTGATTCTCCAAACTAGCTAACAGGTCTAGAATTCAAAAATAGTCTCTCATGTAAGTACTGCTTAGCTTCTGAGATCAACCAAGGTTAGCTAGGTGCTGCCACCTGCTGAGGCAAATTCTAGTAGGATGCTTTAAGAACATAAAAACAGCCCATTTTAGTCCAGTATTTCATTTCTCACAGTGCCAACCAGATACTTCTGGGACACATGACCCCCAATCTGGAGGTAATTTTGAGTCTTAAACAGTCCTGTCCTCCAGGAATTTATATCCAATTTTCTTTAAAGCCACCCAAGTTATTGTCTCTCATCACATTTTGTGGTAATGAATCCCACAGGTTAATTATATGCTACATGAAAAAGTGCCTTCTTTTGTTCCTAAATCTATTTATCAGCTTCATTGGATGACTTGATCCTACTGTTCTGAGAGATGGTGAAAAACATTTGCCTGACTATGCAAGATTTTATACATCTCAATCATGTTCTTCCTCAGTTGCCTTTTGTCCAAACTATTAAAAGCCTCAAACGTTCCAGGCTTTTCTGACAGGAAAAATGTTTGAGTCCCCTGATCATGTCAGTTGCACTCTTCTGCATTTTTAACCCTAACCCTAATCCTTTTCCAAATGTGGCAACTGAGCAGAGACATGATGCTAAACCTAAGAGTTTGTTTCTTCCTCCTAAACATAGAGTTATGGTAGCATGGCTTTGTGCTAGCTTAAAAATCCATTTAACTAAATTTGCTATAGCTTACATTGGCACACAAAAATTAATAGATTCTTCAAAGTATTTTCCTTCAGGACAGTTACAGCCTTCAGCGCAGTCGTAATCACAAGCATCCAGAAGAGAAAGGGAAGAACAGGAGTGCTCACAGAAGGAGGAACATGGGTGATACAGCATTCCGCTTCTGCATACTAATGCTATGGAGATACATCATATTGCAAAAATGTCAGAAATTATCTACAGGTACAAAAAGAGCATGAAATCTTCTCTCTTTGTTAATCAAGTCTACTCTAGGGTCACTTTAGAACAGAAAGATGTCTTTAAAAATGCCCTTCAGACACTTTGCTTGAGAAACTGATTACATAATAGATGGCAGACAAACGTAGGTAATATTCATAAAGCAACATGTTTGGCAGGATGGTGGTGGGGGAAAAGTGTTTTAACCACAAATACTTGCCAGGCAGCCATTCTCCCATTGGATCTCAAAGAAAAAGAAATCCTATTTTCAAGTTGGAAAGTCATCAGCCCATGCTGCATTTTAAATTACCTAATTTGAAATGCAAGCACACTCACTTCCATACACAGTACACCAACACCAACATACATGTGTATGCACAAACACATAGATATATTCATTAGGCAATAGGAAGCTAAAAATTGTCAGGCTTGTGTCTTCTTCTATAGAGCTATAGTAAGTTGGGTTAAAGCTATCTTAAATTATCTACTTTTTACTCTACACAAATAGTCTGACACATTTTGAGTAACTACCTAGATCCAAAGTAATAACCAGCTTCACCTTATTGACTTGATCAAGAAATAAAGGAATTCAGATCAGGTCATATCTGGTTGGTATTCTCATAAGTGTTACTAATTTTAAGTAGAATTGCTATTATTTTGAAGTTGCATTCATTTTAATTGTTTATATTTTTCAATTCAAAAATCATTTCTGTGTTACTTACCACAGTTTGAAACATGAGATCTGAAGTCTATAGTAATCCCATGCTTGCTGCAAATATAAGCATAGTGTGCAAATGCATTACACAAGCAACTTCTCCCACATTTGCAAGCATCAAAGCGACATAGCTGGTAATATAATCCTGGACTGATGTATATATGACATGGAGCAAAGAGTTCTTGATTGATGAGATCACACTGGGATGCGTATGCAACTATGAAAAAGTGACATTTGGCTTATTACAATGCTTATTATATTAAAGCCCAAAAGTAACTGGCAAAAAAAAAATAAAAATCCAATAATAGATATTACACCAAAACTGGAAGCTGATCAAAATATAACACATGCAAACATATCAGCGTAGTGTCCATCCCACTGACTTAAATAAGAATAAACCAAAGTAAGTAAAATGTCTTCAATGGCCAGTTAAAACAGTAATATGTAAACAAATATGAGAGACAGAATTACCTTTACCAAAAATATGGAACAAAGTAAAGATCAAAGGAATAGTTTTAAATCATCAGGAGGTAGGAAAAAAACCCAGACACCAGATAAGAGTTGTAATCTAATAATATAATTATGATAAAATTTAGATTTAAAAATCTCCAAGTAAATGAAAAGTGCACCATTTTGTTGGTTAATGTTGCAAGGATCAACCACAGGAATATTGACAGGCACTTGACATGCTGAGGAAACCTTCCATGCGTTAGCATGAAGTTGTGGAGTTCCTTCAATCATTCCTGATGGGGAGCTAAGTGGGGAAATGAGAACAATTAAACAAAAGAATCAGACTGTCCAGGAAAATATACTTAACACTGGAATATTCTGTTTTCTCCTGAGCTATGCCTATATGGAAAATTTCTATGCTATCATGGTGGTTATGTGGACCTTTAAATGGTGTGACTTCATATTCAGACCAAGATGGGACTGTGTCATGCAGAACTTCAGCTGAACATTTCCAATTGTACTGTTTCAAATGCTGACCTTGCCAGTCCCTCAGTCTATATTCTGAACTATTGTGCATTAGCACAGCAATTATACAAATGCCATTCTTTGCAGAATTTCATGTACTGAGTCAGCACATTAAAAAGAAAAAAACAGAACCAGAACCAAGGCTACTTGACCTGGGTATCATAGGCATTTTGACACAATTTCCCTTTTGGGATACCACTATATTGTGGCACAATTTCCCTTTTGGGATACCACTATAAGACAGACAGACAGACAGACAGACAGATAGTGCCACCAATGTTGTTTCGGTCCTGTGCCCAGACCTGATTCCTGACTGAAGTGGTACAGATAATCCACTTCCTTCAGCATTCTTCGATGCTGCAGAGGGCTCTGTTTACTTCCTCAGCACTCACAGGATCAAGCTCACCCCAGGATACCTCACAAGCCTCAGCTTGCCTAGCATAGCTTCCATCAAGCTCTAAGCAAATCTGTGACTTTGTCCTCCAGATGCTTAGAAAATCCCTCACAGTAGTCCAGCACAGGGAGGACAGTACAATAGCAGCATTCCCTTACATCCAGTTATCTGGGGGATAATACTCCTCAATGCCAACAGATTCTTCTGAATTACACATGTCACTCCAATTCCCCTTTCCTGAGTTTACAGCTGATGCAGAACCCAAACACTCCTCTGCTCCCAACCAGATTTTAGTATAAGCCATGTCTGCCTTCTCTCCCATTTAAATAAATAGCTCCAAATTAGCAGCAATCATAGCTTATTATAAGACTAATTCTATAGCTGTTTAGTACAATTATGTCTGCATCTGACAGAACACTTTGTGTTTAGAAAGCTAAACAAACCTCCTCTGCCTTTTAAGACTGCAACAACATAAACATGTATATGGTGCAGTATGGAAGACTGAGTAAACACTCCTTTAAAAAAAAAAAAAACCTGTCTGTAACAAAAATTATAATTCAGGGCTTTTTATAAGAAATGAACAAATACGTAAAAATAAAAATTGAAAACTGTTCTTAAGGGTGTACAGAGAATAAACAAGGCTGCTAGTTTTGTCCAAGTTTGTAATTCTTCCCTTGCTATTTTCTTCAAAGAACATTTTGTTGACCATCAGCTTAAGTCAAGGGTTGGTGAAAAGAGTACCCAGACTCATTTTTAATTTCTATAATATACTGATAACTTCAGAGTGCTAGTGAAAGAGAGAACGTGGAATTCCCTCCCTGCTTATTTGTGGTTTGTGTTTAAACTTATAAGTTTCCATGCCAACTGCAGATTCCTTTGATCAACTAAACATTTGTTGAATTGTGCTGCTGGTTCTTGTCTGAGGCTGTTATTCTTGCTCTCCTTTAAAATGGCTTTAATCTCTTCTATCTGAAAACTTTTTTATTGCCTTTTGTAATTTTAGATGTGTTTATTATTCTTTCTTTTACTTCTACAGTGGGATTATTTTTATAAATGAAATATAAAAGCATTTGTCAAGAAAATACAGCTCCTCTGAATTTAAAAAATGGTTAAACTTTTTTTTAACAAGTCGTGGCATTGCAGTTTATATTTTGATCAATGCAAATGACTAGAATTATCCACATGTTACATGCATGTAGAGAAAGACTAAATAAAATAATAATGGAATAACTGTACAAATCTGACTTACAGAAAATCATCTCTCAGATTTCCATTATAAGTTCCACAAAGACCCAAAGTTCTGCTCTTCCACTCAGCACTGAGTTGAATATATACCCTTTCACCATCTTTAGCAAATCGGATTTTTAAACCAAATTTAGTTTTTAGTTGCACAAACAGTGAAGACAGGTTCTGTACTTCCACATATCCTGAATATAACAGAAAGAGAATTAAATTAAATAGTGAGCAGTACTATGCACTGTGGAAAAAGGAGTAAAAAATAGCAAGCAAAGAAATTAAAGACATGGGAGTTAAAAAAAAAAAAAGGAAAGGAAAAATGGCTATATCTAGTTTATATTCCCAAACATTCACTATACCTCTTCATATCTTTCTAGCCTTGCAAATCATCCTTGTTTCCATAATGTCTATGCTTCAGTGCCTTTTGTTTGTTAATATTTTCATCTTTTTCTGTTTTAAAATCTCAACAGTTCAACCACAGCTTTTCAGTCTTTCTCTTGACCCATTCACCCTTCCTTTATATATATCTTTTATGATTCAGTACTCATTTGTTCTCTCTATATGATCAAACCACCTCAATATACTTTGTTTGAACACTCGGAAGTCATTGTTGACCCTATTCAATCCATGTCCATTCAGAACTCAGCCTTGACCCTATTTTTTACTTCTTTCACCACACATATTTCTTTAGTGCCCTATTCCAATGGATTCTGCAGAACAGCATAAGAGGTGGTTTTTGGTGGAGCTACACAGAAATGTACTTTCATCCCTCTTCCTTCTATGGAAACATTGGCTGACTATTTGTCTTTTCTGAAAATCCTTTCTGTTCGTGGAAGGATCAATCTATCTATCAATTCATTTACATCTTTCAACTAAACACAGTTCCATTTTCTTATTAATTCTTTTGAGATTATCCATAAGTGGTAAACATTCAAAATCTGCACATTTCAGATGACAAATTATTTTATAATTCAACCGTTGAACAACTGAATTTTTTGCAGACAGATGATTCTGCAGTTATGACCCCATTTTCCTACAATAATAAAAAAGAATTAAAGAGAACTAAAAATGATTGTGATTTTCCCCAGAGTCTTCATGAACCTCCTAAAAAGTAGGAAGCTCAGTGGTAATCCAGCCTCAAGTGACTTTAAATAGAATAATCACTTGCAGCTAATTTATAATTCCTATATATCAGAGTGAAAGACTTTAAATTTTTCCACAGAGGACAAGTGTGATATACTAATTAATCATGACAAGAGAAGACTATGAAAAGCATTTCATCTATTTTTGCTTTTCTAAACAAAAATGTAAAACTGTGGACCACCATGTGATGAATGACGTATCTATGGTAATTTTCTGTGCTGGAAGTATACTGTTTTTATTGTATTTTAATTAATATTTATTTGTTGTTTTATTGTAAACTGCCCAG